TAATACATCTGTACTTCCCTTGCTGCTAGAGACACCATGGGACAGTGTGCAGCCCAGCAGTGTCACTGACGGATGTGTTACCCCTAACCCTTTCTGATACGTTACCCATAACCCTCTCTGATGTGTCACCCAGCAGTCTCTCTGATGGATGTGATACCTGTAACCTCTACCTGATTGATGGATCATTGGCCTCTTGCCCTGACTGTTGGGGTATTTATGCAGCTTGCTGCTCTTTGTTGGGATGTAGTACCTCCACGACTGACAGATTTATTGCCCACAGGGTATAAAGTCAGGGGCTCCATCACTGTGATGGCAGCTGTCACACTGTATGTCTACAGGCACAACCAAGTCGAGCTACAGTTATAGCCCAACTATGCCATTTAATAGGACTACTATCCTTGACCCAATATACTGTACATGCACGGGAGGGGAATTGATTTATTGACCGAAGTATGTCCGTGTCTGCTACAATAGGTGACGATATGGTGCCTTTCAGCTAGTTCATACTGGGCTTTTTCCAGTTGACCAATTATGTCATAGACGTAAAAAAAATAAAATTAATAATGGTCCATAAGCACTTCGTGCTTTGGACCCTTAATAATGATGGATGCGTGGACAAATGAAGTGACACAAGCTTTAATTGAGATCTGGTCGGAAGAACACATACAATAAGAACAGAATAGTATAACTTGAAATAAAGTATTTTGTATAAAATACTATGACAGCACGGTATTGGAAATTTTTCATATATTGCATTGTGAGTTTGCTGTAATAAATATTGCGGTATTTATGAAACCAAAAAGGTGTTGCTCACAAACCTGTCTAGGACTGATTTAATCAGCAAGGATGAAAATGATTATGATTGTCTCATGCAAAAGCAGCACAGGTAAAATTTACGCTGTTTTTAAACATATACTAGATAATCTTGAAAAGATTAAAATTGCAAGACTTGCTAAGTTTTTTACTTATAATAAAGTAAGTTGAGACTAACTCCCTGCACTATAATATCTGTACGAAAATTGAAAGAAAGAAAAAGCCTGATCTTAATCTAGCTGACGTAATAATGTAATAATTATACAGTATGTGCATGCAATGTTGGTATTGATACTGCACGTTGTCCAGTCCTACTGCTACCTTCTTGAAGTACCAAAAGTATGGTACCTGGTGTGGTGGGAAAGTGCCCTTTAGTTGAGCAATGAATTGGACAGCTTTACAGTGCTGTACAGTTCGTATGTGCTGTATGTTGGTGTTATCTAAAGGCACACAACACCGCTGTATGGTGCTGGTGTGTGCCAACATTGTGACCTCTGCTGTGCTCAATGTGTATTCTGTATACCGGCTCCTTCTGTTACTTCTACGTACTCATTGCTGAGAGTGCTTGCTTTGATTCATGCCAAAATAAATGCTGAATGCTGAGTCATAAAGACACCCCTCAAAGTCAGCCGGTTGTTTGTCAGTGCATTTGTGTGTAGGGGACAGAGGTGGACTGCTTCAGGCCCACAGAGTGTGCAGGGCCTTGGGCACCACACCAATAAGGGGCCACACAGCAGCAGAGACCTGACCACATGGAACAGCCGTGTGACTGCAAGAAGACTGGAGGCTCATCTGACAGGTCATGATCCTGGTGATGTTTTTAAACTCAGAGCCATCTAACCATTTCAGTTTGCATTGGTAATATCAACTTTTTTTTTGGAGGGGGGGGGGGGGCGCTTGCTTATCTTCTTATTTTAAGGTGATTCTGTTATTCCTGATGATATGCTGATAACCCCCCCCCCCACCACCACCTCTAGTCTGTGTAACAAACATGTTTCCTCTGTGGGAGAGTGTGACCTGAGGCTGGGGG